AGATTCAGGAAAAGTTACAAAAACACAAGCTTACAGCAAATGTATTAATAGCCACATAATGAGCTCCTCATATTTTATGACTTGAATAGCATCATATAAACAATGAGAAAATACTTACAAGAAAAATTTCCATTCCAGTTTAATTTTTCTGGGGGATGCTAAGAATGATATTTGAGTAAATTTGGAACTCGCATAACTTAAAGGTGGACTGACTTTAAAATATTGTAAGAAATACCATTTCCCACAGTCTAGCTCTGTTTGAGGGCAGCACTGCAAGGAAGATCAGTGAAGTGTTAATGCAATTTTACGTTTTTAATTTCCTTGGTTTTGAAATCAGCCAAAGAAACAATGTAATTGCTGTGCATGCTATCATTTGAATACTTCCAGCTGGGCTTTTTGAATTCACACTTTTCTGAAATGGACAGGGTGGGAAAGAGGTGATTCTCCTACACATTTGTTCCTGTAGACTAGTAAACTTGTACCAGTCCTATTTTACCGTAGATTTTACTTAGTCTTTTTGCAGGCTTACTGCTTCTTTGTCATGTAAATAGGAAAAAGAAATTTTTTATTAAAAATATAGAATTGACAGAATATTACAAACTCCAAAATCACTCTTCAGTTCTTTTGAGATAGAATATTTTCCCCTTTTTTTTAATTTTTTTTTTTTTAGTTATTTTTTTTGTCTTCTGACATTTCTTCAGAGGATGCATTATCAGGAAACTATAGGCTTCCTCACACAAATCTAACTATAGCCTATAGGCAGTTGTCCTAATGTCTGCTGTCAAACCATACATAGAAAATACATTTACTAAAAATATGTTCTGTTGAGATCTAAGCAAATACATTTGCCATGTCAGACCTTTCAGATGCTAATCTCTTCCACACAAACCAAGTACAGGTATTTATTCACTGGCAAGTCTTTCCTTGAGAAAAATATGCTTCTTCTCATTTTCCAGTTGAAATGAGCTTGCTTACTCCTTTGACTCTAAAAAATGTACTTCTTCCTTCTTCTAAGTATTAATGCAGGAAAAAGCGTAACTTTTACTTACATGTTAGCAATTTTCCTTAACTGAGCAATTTTCCTTAATTGCTCACACGTAGTCCAAAGTCAGACATAGAAAATAATAGTTGAAGAGATTTTAGAAAACAAAGGTAGAATAAGGCTTTTAGTGGAAATACATTTGCAACCTTATAGGCACCAGGTGAAAGCAACATCCTCATTTTCAGATAAGAGTTTAAATGAAATGCTATAGATTCTACAGGTAAAATCCAGACTCTAAGGAGGAAATCTATGGGTTAAATTGCTGTTGTAGTTATTCTTTCACCAAAGTTCTGTCTGATATATGTATTTTACTAAGTTGTCTAAATCCTGCTGCAATATTGATTTCTCCCTTTAAAAACTCTCACCCATTTAGTAAGCTCCAAGGACCTATGTCCCAGCTCAGTTCTTCCAAAATGCAGCTGGGATATGTTATTTCTGTCAGCAATCATACAGTTACTAACTGGTATTAAAGATATAAAATGCTTTTAGGAACAGAAAAGAAAATGTTCACCACAGAGAAATACACAGTAATTCTAGTAACCCTTAGTTAACAGTTTTGCCCAAAGAAAGATTTTTTTTTTCCTATTCTGTTGCTCCTTGAAAACAGCTGGCATTCCATTTACTGAACACTTAACAATAGCTACCCTGAATTTATTCAAAAGACAGTATTGTCATATAATCCCAAGCCTGCAGAACTATTGCAACTAATGAAAAGACACAAGTAGATATGTAGAAAATGTAAATTAAGCAGGCAGCATGGTCTGAAGGTTCTCTTTTCAGAATGGGAGTCTGCAAGATAGGTTCTATATCAAGGCTTTCAAGTTACCTTAAAAATCATTACTGTTATTATTAAGTTTAACTGAAGGTTTAAGAGATATCAAATAACATATTTACTAAGGGTCCAGTCTGGAAAACAGCTACTTATGCAACTGAAGATTGTTGTCAAATATGCCGTTTGAAAATGTATCCATAAATCTAATATTTTCTGCTCTGCTGTCTGATAAATAAATATCTTTAATTGCCCCTATTATCTTCATCCTAATTTCAGACAAACAAGTCTTCTGCTTGAAGAAAAACTCTTCTTATTATGGTGCAGTATCACTGCTTCTTAGGCTAGCTTAGTCAGTTATTTTCTTCTATTATAATGCCAAATGTTATTTAGATTTCAGTCATTTAGTAATGCTACACTGAACACATCAAGGATTCGGAAAAATTCCATACCTTCTAGTGCCTCTTCATTTTCATAATAATCACATATTGATATCCTTTTTTCCCCCAAATTACACACGCTGTTATTTAAAAAATATCTTAGTATCTTAACACAGTTAAAGAGATTATGATGCAATGAACAGCAGTCTTCAGAAACATTTTTTCATGTTATTAAGATTACAGAAAATCTAGTTAAAATTCTTCCAGCTTTTAAGGAGCTGGAAGGAGCTTTGAGATGTAGAGCTTGACACAAACTTTTTCGTAAACTCCCTCAGAGCTATCATCTGCATTAGTAAAGATATTTAGTTAAAGGTAGCACCCTACCCTGTTTAACAGAAATCTATTAGTTAATTTAAATGTTGTTATTAGCTGTAGCTTGACAATGCTGCAACCATGGATTTACAAAATAAAAAGAGCATATAATTTTTTAAAGTAGCTACTAATTCACCTCAATCATATACAAAGAATAGAGAATGAATATTTCTAGCCTGAATATTATAAGCC